ATGGTAGATTTAAGGATTGATGAATTGATTTTTTTTGGTGAAAGAGACGCAGAAAACATTAGAGTTTGGCCTCGGGAATGAAGAAATTCCGATTAGGGTTTAATGGAATCGGGATTCAGGCAGTGATTGCCTGTGGAATTTATTTTTTCCTTCAAGATGATTCTCTGTGCAATTGTGGCAATCATTAGTTTTGATTCATGAGGGATTCGGACAGTGTTTTCAGGTAGGCGGTATGGCCTATTGAATTGAATGTTTCTTGTTCTTTTCCTGTTATATACATATTTCTAGGATCTATCGGTTAGGCAGTGAAATGAAACTGAATTTGGTAATTACTACTCTCAAAATGATGATGCATGAACTGGTTTAAGTGATTATGTCTCTCTCTTCTTTTTGGCCTTTTCTGAGTTTTTGTCTAACATGGAATTCTGGGGGTAATATCTGATGTTTCCTCTTCTTTGGACCATTTTCGAAAATGCGGGAAGGGAGAAGAAATTGCTTTAATCTTCTGCTGGTCTGTCCATTTACTTTGTTTCACTTGATCTATTCTCTGATATTTTTCTGATAATTGAATTCCTTATCTCCATCTTTGGATCTGAAACGGTTTATTGTTTTCCTTTTTTACATGATTTGTATAGAGTTCCTACTGTGGGTGGAAATACTCTAGATCTTCATCGGCTTTTCATTGAGGTCACATCTCGAGGTGGCATTGACAGGGTAAGAGTTCATGGCATTGCTAGTTAAGCGGGTGGTAGCTTTTTGGTTTACCGTTTACTGAATAATTTTTTCAAACTGCAGGTGATTAAGGATCGAAAATGGAAAGACGTGATAGGGGCATTCAATTTCCCAACAACGATAACGAGCGCATCTTTTGTCTTAAGGAAGTATTATCTCAAGCTGCTTTATCAATTGGAGCAGGTGTATTGCATCCAAAAACCGGTTTCTTCAATGTCATCGACAGGTATATGCGGACATCCGAAAGCCTTTTCCCTTCCCTTTTTTCCTCCCCATAGTATTATGAGATGGGCTGAAATGTTTTGCTTTTCCAGATGAAGCAATGAGGAGTCTTGTCAATGTATCCCCAACCACTGAAGAAGGTACTGAAATAAGCGCTTTCTTTTTTCATGTCAACTGTTCCTGCATCAGCAGCATTCTCATGGCCGTTCTTATTATAGCTTATCTGGAGTATTCTTTTAATCTGTATCTTTTTCCTCAGCCATCAATGGTTTTTTATATAACTAACTAGTTGCTGTTAAGTTCACCAGTGACCAGTGCATTTATTTTCCTCCAGTTGGCACTTGTTGGGATATTCTTCTCTAGCTGAATCTTTTGCCTCCATAACATATTCTTTGGGACTTTATCATCAATTCCCCAAAAAAAATTTATTGTATTGTCGTCTGTTTCTCTGTTTTTCTGAAAAAATGTTATTCTCAAATTCACTGCATTTTCCTGTGTTTCACAGGCAGCCAGGAACTGCATGTTGGCTGTTCTGTTTATGGAATTATTGACGGGAAGTTTGATAACGGATATTTGGTGACCATGAGGACGGGATCAGAGGAGCTCAAAGGCGTGCTTTATCACATTCCTCAAACGCCTTGTCCTCCACACAATCTGAAAACTTCTTCAGCCGTACCGTCAAGGCGGCATAAGAAGAGACCAAGACTGGCTCTGGTGGATTCTCAACGACCTAAATGCCACAGAAGTGGCTACAACTTCTTTTTCGCGGAGCAGTATGCAAGGCTTAAACCCGAATACCAAGGGCAAGAACGAGCTCTCACCAAGAAAATCGGGCACATGTGGAGCACTCTCTCGGAATCTGAAAAACAGGTACCGATCCCATCCCATATTCCTCTCTCTGTCTCTTGACAACAGATGCACAGGTGGAGCAATCTCTCCTGACATGGCCATGATGACAGTGTAAATCTACCATGACTTCTCATTTTCTCCTACATACAAATGGACATTTCTTCTTCTGTGCCCTTGTTATTCCAGTAACGTTTTCCAAACACGAACATGGTCATAAATCCACATTCGCTCATGTTTCACCGTTGTGTCTCCGCAGGTTTATCAAGAGAGAGGGGTGAAGGATGTGGAGAGATACAGGACGGAAATGTTGGAATACAAATCTTCATACGAGGCCAACGCGGCTGCAGCACAGTAGTAGCTCCTCTTCTCATACTCTGTGTATGTAACATCTCTCTCTCTCTCTCTCCCCCCTTTTCGTACTTTTGAAATGTTCTTTGTTCAATCAGCTGCATTAGGGTAGTGAGGTATTTGTAGCAACTGTGGCGGACGCTTAGTAAAAGATCATTTTGTAGTGTTACTGGATCTAGCCATAGATGCAGATGCGGAATCTTGTCAAACTCTTAAAATATGAGCTTTTTCTTTTCAATTTGGTGCTTTTGGTATTTGTTCGCTTGATGTTCATGTCATTGGGATACCCGTAGAGGTAGAGTGCACAAATATTCGTATACGTGTGGTGGATTACCCACCAGATTTTGCATTATGTTTCTTCCTTGCGTAGGTTGTAGGGTTTTGAAGTTTTCGGACAAAACTGTGTTTTCCGGGAAAATAAAGTAAAAGATTCTTTTTTTAAAAAAGAAAAAAGAAAAGATAAGAGTCTGTTTTGATAGGATAAATAGTTAGTAAATTCTATGAGAACAAAATTTGGAATTATGGATGTTAAAAATCCATGTTATATAGTCAGATTATACAAATTATAAATTTTTAGATTTACTGTTATTTTTGTTGAAATGTGAAAAGAAATATGTTTTTCCAGTATTTGTAATAATATTTTTATCAATTTATTAAAAAAAAAAGGTACAAAGCATGTGGTAGACAATTCATTTTTTACCCAAAAAAAAACATAAATTCGTACGTATTGCACTTCAGATTAATAATCAAGCCAAGAGAGTGTATATTTAAATTAAATTATGGGATTAATTTTAATAATTTATTCAATTATAATTTGATTTTATTTGTGTAATAGAATTGTACATCTTACAAAAATAATTACGGATTATTAGAGAAATATATATGGGCTTTGAATTGGGCCCAAAAAGCTCTCCATTAGGCCTCATTTAAGCCCGGTAATTTCTTTAATAAGGATGCGCGTTGTTCTAATTACCATACGCGCACATGTAGCGCGTGAGCGTCACGAGCTCGAAAACCCTGGACTATAGTCCAGCGAAATCGCCTGATTTTGCGAAATCTGAATTTCAGGCGCGTGGAGCAATGACGAGTTTCTCCCCGAAAATAAAAATAACAAAACTTCATTCGAGTTCGAGATTCGAACTAGTGTCTTTCGTATATCCTTTCATCATCGAAAATTTTCTCATTCGAAAAGCAGAGATCTCACCTGAAAATAAAATACTATTTGCAATGGCATGAATTGATTTCATGATTTGAAGAAGGAGAAGACAGAATTAAAGATCAGAGAACACAACACCGAGCGTCACAGAAGAAGAACAAGAGAGAGAGAGAGAGAACATCATCATCCGAACAATTAACTATACATAACAATTCCATGGAAAGAAAAAAAAAAAAGAGGGAGAGAGAGTGAGAGAATCGAATCAGCCGAAGAACTTGGGATCATATCCATTACTGGAAGTGGCCAAGATGTAGTAAGCAACGATATGTCCGATGGAGCCCCAAGCAAGGACATCGACGATGTTGAATCCGACAGGGTCGTTCGATTTCAGGAGGCTGACGTATTCCTTGGCTCGGTCGTCCCCGGCCTCGAAGTGGGTCTTCCCGTTCTGCTCAGGCAAGCCCTGTTTTGCCACATTCTCTCTCTGGAAGTTGAAGAACACGAATCTGCCCAGGAAGAGGGAGAGACCCGTGCTCAGGCTGATCACGACGGAGGGGCTGAGCTCCGCCTTCACCACGGCGGCGGAGGAGGGTCTCCTCGCGGTGGAAGAGAGCCGGGGCGCGGCGGAGGAGGAGCCGCCGAGGCGGATGGGTCGGAGGCCGTGGAAGGAGATGGATCTAGGGTTTGATGCGGCGGAGGAGAAGGTCGCCGGAGAGAGCAAAGCGGAGGAAGCGGTCGCCATTTCTGGATGGATTTTGGGTTGAGTGAATGGAAGTGTGGGTAGGTATAGATGATGATAATAATTTTCAGGGTCGGTGATTCTGGTTGTGAGGACAGAATTCAGCAGAAATAGATTGCGGCCAAGTGACGTGGCTTTATCTCGTTGGCTCTTTGTGGATGAGAGATCTTCGCTTCTGACATCTTTTCTCTGCTTCGGACAGGAGAAGCCAAGAATATCAGGTCAGGCTATATACACAGTTACCACAGTAATATTGTAGATGTTCCATAACTACATACATAAAGGGAGTAATTTCAATGTGGTAAAAGACATTTCAGATATGGAACAGTGGGTTTGGGTTTCAAATATGAAAACTCGACCCAGTCCTATAAATCTCTCCCATGACCTCCTCAAGAACACAAAAAAAAAAAAAAAAACGAGAAGAATAACTGACCAATTCTGGTTGGCTTCTCATTCACCACACCTACGAGAAATCGCGTTTCTTCAGAGTGAAAATGGAGTATGTTTTTCTTTCCTCGGACGGTGTTTTTCTTCCAAGTTCTGGGTTCTCAAAGGAATGAATCAAGGTACGAGTAGTTCCTTCGCCGGCTGTACTCCATCAGGCTACCATATGTACGGTCCCATACCCCAACGAATAGCTTCTCTGTGTCCGGGCTGAACGATATTCCTGATATCTCCCCGAAGAAGTCTATCTCCTGCTCTCCCTCGTACCCATTTCTCACATCAAACACGTGCACAAAGTCCGCTGGCTCAGCCATTGCCATGTATTTTCCATCCGATGTATAGCGGATGGATCTGATCGCTCCCAGGTTGCCCCTCAGGACACCGACGGATTCTGACAGCTTACGCACATCCCACACCCTGCAGGTCTTGTCCTGGTTTCCCGTGGAGACCGTCAGACCGTCTGGATGCCATGCAGAGGCAAAGGAAAAATCCGTGTGTCCCGATAACGTTGCTACAGTCTGTTGAGAATTCGGGAAACTTGAAATTTCAAGGACGTGTCTGGAAGAAAACTTGATTTCTAAAACACAATATTCGTCCGGGAAGTCAAGTATGCACCTTTCCCGTGTTGGAGTCTACCAAAAGGCCCTCCGGGTTGTCTCCCACGATAGTCAGTAGTTTACCGTCTGGGCTCAGAGACGTGTGCTGTCAAGAACAAATACTGTTACCACCACTAGATGATTCATACCAGACCAGAACTACATATATATATATATAGCTTGAATGAGGTAAAGCGATAACTGGATGACGATATGAAGAGATCAATACCAAAGCAAAATAAAAACTGAGAAAGAAGCAAGGACTTACATTCACCGGCCAGGGAAAACGAAAATGCTTAACAATCTGATACTTCTCCATATCAAAGTCTCTGACTCCACAGTCATTATTTGAAGCAGTAAAATGAAGTGCACCACTGTAGAAAGCATTGACAAAAGCTAAGTTAGAAGGAAACGCTCAGACAAGTTGCCAAGGACCTCTTCGAGCAAAAGAAGAGACATACCTTGGTTTGAAATATATCTCAACAGCATTGGTGATAGCATTATCATCATAAGTCGTACGCAAGCAAAAGCTGACACCGGGTCTATCAAGATGCTGGACCAGAGTTGAAATAGATGGGCTCCACTTAGAGATGGATCGTAAATACTATGCTTATTCACTGATTATTAAAATACAAGAGCTCACCTTGCAAATAATTTCTCCTTGAAATCCACCGGCAACAAGAAATCTATCTTTCACTGCAAGTGTACTAACTTGAGTCTGTGTAAATCCTTCCAGCAAACTTCCAGGATGTTTCTGAATGCACGCAAGTATTAGGATAGACCGATGTAGTTATTTAAAAGACTTATATAGCTCTGGCATTCACTAACCTCAGATGGTGCAACATGACCTGAGACATTGAGAACTTCAGATTTTGCAGTTGATAAAGAATTATAATGCATAACTTGAAAATGTGACATAAGGTAGACATCGTGCTTCGAAGTTGCCCATACCAAATTCCTCAACTGCAATATCGAGAAAAAGGTTATATTGATCAGATGACTTCTGCATAAATATTTTCAATAACCAATCGTTTAGTTCATATTCTTATATCAAATCAAAAGGAGACTCTATCCTACAAAGCCGGTGTTCGCAAAAGCTATGCAAGCACTCATCACCAGCACACGTATTCCAGGTGACACCCTCACCAATGCCTGAATATTGAATCTTACAAAAGGAATATCAACTAGAACAGCATAGAGAAATTTCAATGGCAAGACCTGGAAGTGAAGAATAGTTGATTTAACAGATCTTGAATTCCGCCAGAACTCGTAAAAATGGCCCCCTTTGTTAGTGACCTTGCAATCCTATATTCATAAAACAAAAGATAAATAATATTAAATAGCGATGGTAACCATAAGCACTGACAACAAATTGGAGAGTCAAAGAATACATCCCTTACTTTTCCTGAGGATTCCGCCGAATAAGGTACATTTTCATAATTCTTGTACTGTTCTAGTCTAGTTTGCCTGTACTTTTCCCTAGTAATACTAAGCCTCTCCCAAGGAATCCCCTGAATGTCTTTCCCTTTTCGAGCTTGCTCTGCAGTTGTATCCGCTATTTTATTATTCTGAAACAGAGAACGGAGTATAAAGCATAAGACTGTAGTGAAACTGTGATCAAAGTTATTGCTCCTCACATCACAATCTGAAGTTCTGAACCCACTGAGAAGGTAATTAGCATAGCGGAAAACTGTTAAGGACTTGAGCAGGCATAGTTACCGAGTAGTCATATTCGTCAATATCAGAATCTGACGCACCCATATCGTCACCACGGAACTCCTCATCCATATCATCATCAATATCTTCCACATCATCATCTATGTCTTCCATGTACTCATCGTCGTCCACTTGGAAATTGGACATTTTAAGGAAAATAAGTACAAGACAACCTGCACATACAAAACCAAACTACTTACTGAACATTCACAACCAGTTCTCGAGCAACTGTACTAGAATACAACAGAGTAACCGTGTTTTCCTGCT